ATGAGACAGCGTATGAGGTCAGGTTTTTGTTAGAGTGGGACGAAGCTATGAAAACTTGTGTACTTTCCATTCAAGGTTGCTTTTCGATATATCTTTCTTTGGATAGAGAAATCGGGGCATCCAGTCAGATGAACATGCGATTAACTATTACGCAATTAGTTCATTCTTTCCCACCCACCCGATCCCTCAGTCCTCTCTACACCAATTCCCATGCTGTTCGTGTGATTTTCCCCCGCTAGATTGAAAACAGTAGCAACGACCGGAAGTACAGGCACAATAATCACATCTCGGACATCCTCATCTGGTCTGATCGGACACAGTGTATTTATGCATGTCATGTCCTCACCCACCCACCCCTGCCCTGTCGAACTGTGAATCTGCACCAACACGACCATCACGAAGCTGGAGAAATCAAATACAGTACGAGAGGCTGGTATCGACAACCAGTCAGTCCACAGTTGTATTGTTTTGTTTTGTTAGAACAGACACACGATGGCTTAGCAATTAGTCTGACACGTCACGAAAGATGAAACGAACCGAAAGACAAGCACTGAAACTCACCGAGATTGTTATCGAATTTCCACCCAGACTAGGAATCCTTGTTGATGTGTGAATAGATTAGGACTGCCGGTTGTTCATGCTACTTTCTTATCCTGTTCTTGTTTTGTGTCATAATTTTAGCCACGTGTGTTGGTGAGCTGATCGTACGAAGGGCTACAATCATCCAACCGAACGACTGTCTCCGCAACCACCATTGACTACATGATCCGGCATAGTGCTACGGTTCTGTGTGTGTGTGTGTACGACTTTGGATCAACACATTGAACAACGCGTAAATAGACAATATGTGCATTCCATTCCGAAAGACCACGATTAAGGGTTGTAAAAGTCGTCCCAAGTTGGCCATTGTTTCTGGGACCCCCATAATACGCATTCGATGGAGTAACATGGATCTTTTGAAATTTGATTAGGCAACTAGTTTTTTTATCTGACCAAGCATAAAACTTTGCATATCTATGCGCAATGATTAAGGATGCAGTTGCGATAGCAACCAGTCTTTTGGACCCTTTTGATCCCATAGACAGGATAATCACATCGAATAATCGATATCTGGTAGAGCTTAATGCATCAGGTCTGAATTCCTATTGAATGTGCACGTTAGTCTCCAGGATACCTCCTCAATTCGGGCATAAACACTGTGTTGATCAGGGACGATAAAACGGGACAAAAACGCAGCACCCGTAATCAATGCAGAAGGGATACGAAAAGTGTGCGATACCAGAAAACATGGTACTTTTATGAAAGAACCGTTGTACCCATTCGCATCTGTTCATGATATGGGAAAGTACAGGAATGCGACACGAAAACGGAGTAATAAAAACCGCCATGGTAACGAACTCTGCTCTGAGAATCTAGCCTCAACCACTTCCGCAATGAAACACTTGATTTCACTTCGAGTTTGACCATTTCTGTTGCTATTCGTTGCCATGACAATTTTTCTTTCTTTCAAAACACATTGTGTATTCCGATTCACGTGAGCGTCAATACGTGGAACCTCTAATCCAGAACATTCCCGAAATAGCACAAGTATCGTGTGAATAGAATTCCTAATGGAAACATCCTTTTTCACAACATTCACTTGGATAAACAACTCAGACAGTACAGTGTTGCATTTTTTTCTTGAAAAATAAAACCGCAGCCGAAATATTAGGGAACGTAGTAACTTATCGTTGTCTTTGTTAAGCTGTTGGGGTTAACTCAATCCGTTTTCCTCTGAAGATCGAGCAACAGTTACAAACGTCTTCTATTTACATAGGGTCTATCTTGTTATGGTTTGAGAGCAAACTGGAACGACTGAAGGTTTCTCGTGAAGTAAAGTAAAAGCCCCTGGGTATGTTCACTTGATGCTTAGCCTTGAATAGCACTTGACAAAAGATTGATGACCCTGGTGTGTGACGTTGGAGTCCGCTTAGGTCAGATTACACAGGAAGGAAAACGATTTTGCCGACCAGATGTCCAGACGGTATGAAAACCCTAACCAGCAGACTGATTCACATACGTCCCTGGGGACCCCGAGATCATGATTACCGATGGTCGGGTGTTGCAAACAGTGGCGTTTATGCATCCGTTCATTATTCTGGTAACTTCAGTCTACGTAAAATCGCTAACTTCCGCTTGAATTTGCTCTCAATATTCCAATCTCCATTCTATTGTTTTATCCAAATGAGTAACCAAAACTGGTGCACAAAAGTGCGTGGTTAATGGTTGTAAGAACTGAACGGAACTGAACCAGATGTCCAAAGTTTTGCCACGACAGGAATACGGTTCTTCGAGAGGGTTTGGAGATAAATTGAATGCTGCTCATTCCCCTCTTTATTCATGTGATAGAAATGTAGAATTAACGTTAGAGGAAGGGGACTGCATTCATACATGATGATGATGATGGGAAGAGAGCGTTTTCCATTATTATACAATAGCCGATTTCCTTTACCACAATCGCATAGAATCCCCCGGGATCAGAAAGTGTAGTGGGAAACATGGGAAACCTTCCCAGTGTACTTAGTCCATGGAAAATCTCTGAATAGACACCACTCAGTTGATCTTAGACCCACCGATTGTTCTACAATCCAACGGAACAAATACGGATCTACCTGCCTACTTGTCCCAACGCCAGACATAAGGTTGAGTGGAATTCTGGATTACATGTTACCTTTGAATAATACCATCTTGTGAAACAGAACCGGTGCTGGACTAAACTAGCTATCGGCTTCGAACCCTGTTATCATTTTTCAGGTTTGAACTAGGCCACGTCTTAGGCATCTTATATCATAAAGAAGAGTCTTCGAGTTTCTCAAAGCTTCTTTTACGCCTTCGGTTTCCTTCTGGTCACTTTGCTTGTTACTAGCCTTTGCACACACTTTGTCGATGCAATGGATTTCCTTCCTTAGATAAGGTACCGTGGCTTGGACACAGTATTGCAGCTGAGATTCTAAATATTCCCATATATTGAATCCTCTGCTTACAGCTGCAATACCTGTCATCCGCCTTCTGAACAGCAGCTCGGCGTTTGTCACTGGGCTTAAAGCAATCGCGAATTATAAGCCCTAGGTCGATTCTGTCGTGATGGTGCCTCATATATTATGTTACATTTCATACTTGTCTGAGGACAGACTGTGTGCCAAGCAAATTATAATACAATAATCTTTATTAAAAAGAGAAACATTCCATGATTGGCTTATGGGTTAAACACTGCCAGGTTGCCCAGGCCGAGGCAAGTGAATTTTCTTGAGGAATCCACAACCAGAGCCTTCGGCTAGCCAAAGCCTAACCCGGAAGACAGCGGGGTGGTGGTGAAAACCGCAATCCATCGGGAGCCGGTGTCCAGTTCATCGGATCATTCGCCCTTCGGACGGGATCAAACGTCCTAGGTGCCTAATACATCTCAAAGTCCAATTGAACCGGTGACCACTGTCACAACGGAAAAGGTGTGGGTGCGGTTCGTACGCCTTCTCTTGGTTGGTTTTTGGCCAACTTCCCTAGGTGAACTGCTTGCAGTCTACCAACCCGGTTATAGCCCCGGATGTTGGGTTTTTGTTCTCTCACTTTAGTGGGAAACACCACCACGAGAAGACAGTGAATAGGATTTCCTCAGCAGAGGCTTTTCGAGACGCTTGGTTGTATGGAGGCATTTCGTGAGGTGCAAGAGAAGAGTGACCAGCCGCAACCCTAGACACCCACCCCCGACCATCGTGTAGCACTCAGTGAAATTTGGCTATAGGTCCCACATTCGTGTACACTTGATAACGTAGATCGGGTCGGTCCACTGGTTCACCAGTTTCCCGTTGTCGGCGAACGAATGTGTATCAAGATCAGCTCAGTGCTGTTAAAGAAGATCCGATAGTCTGATTGGATCTCAATGTACTTGGAGAGCTGTGAGCACGAATCCAGGAGACTGAATACATTTGTGCCTGCTTTTAGAGATGTAGACGACCTACGAAAACGATCCGATCTCTAATCTCCCGTGTTTCTCGATAGCCCGATAGGTATCAGGAAGTAAGACCAATTAGTCAAGGCAAAGTATATTGTTCCCTAAAGGTACCGGAAGTTTAGCCTGACTACGCTCGAGTGTCTGGAAGCAAAGAGCTTAGTGAGCGAAAGTGTAGCACTGAACTCACGCACCGATTAGAATAAAGTTACTTCTCCGGAGGCGGCGGTGACTCAAACAAAGATGAAAGACATAGCTGAAGAAGCGGTCTCAGGATATCGAAGATCTTGGCGGAATCTAAGCTATAAAGGAGAAGGATGCACGAGCGAGATGCTACAAGCAACCAATGCCTGTAATCATGCCAAAGCATGCGGAACAGGCAGACCAAACATAGTGACAACTATCGAGCATGTTACACTGTCGGTCTGAAGCCACTACATGCTTGGTTCTGGTTGACTGAGGTTGTCATTTATCTTGACTATATATATATATGTATATAATCACCCGTCTGAATCCAGACTGTGTACCAAACAAATCACAGTACAAAAGTCTTTGCGGAAAAAAATTCCATGGTTTTCAAATTACGTACACCTTATCTATCTCATTTAAATGAAGAACTTTTAATAATGATAGAAAGACAAAATTTGGAGCTTAATTAAACTGACTGCACCGTTCAACGATTTCCTCCCGACAGTCGTTCTGTACTAGCGACAGCACAACCCCCACACAACTGCTAACGGTTTTCATCTGTCTAATGCGGGTATCCGCTAATCACTTGAGAGGTGACCGAAGATGAGACCTACACATATCTTGCGATATTCCTTTCATACCACTCATTTTGTGTGTTTCGTCAGAAAGTTGTCGTGATGAAGATCTTGGAAGGAATATTTATATACAACTGGTTTGTGGAGTACAATAGGACACGCAAGAGATCAACTAGTGTTCTGGAAAAAAGGGCTTATCCGTAGACGATAATCTATGGTCCGTAATCGGAATAGTCAATTTGGATGAGATTCTAAGAGGGATTATCCGACTTCTTCGCGCTCCCTGTGATGACTCCTTCCCCCGGAACAGTCTCCAGCTCCGGACGGACAGGAAATGTCACTTTCGCTTTCCCGGGCCCCTTGTCCGATGTCCAAGCTGTGCTGGAGGCGGTGGATTCCGAGCCGGTAGGTGGCGAGTGCAACAGACCATCACGAATCATTTGGTCTCGTTCCGAATCGTATTTAGCCTAAATGGAGGTAACATGACAGCAACGAGAGAGAGTTGGATAAAAATGAGGTAATCCAAACGGTACGGATTAGAGCTGCACGGTAATCATGGTCACATGGGACTGCATATAGTGGAATTATTTTTCGTGTAGTTCATGTTTAATTCAGTTAGCACAAATCCGTACAGTCATTACCACTCCCAACCCCAACTAACTCAGTTTGCGAAAACAAAACTAGGAATTATCCAAACTATAATGCGCATAACCGTCTGACTGTGTGCCAAACTAAGCGCGTTACAATAGTCTTTATAAAAAAAGAAAAAAATTCTCGATTCGCTCCAGGGCACGATGCGGTTGGGTTGGCCAGACCAAAGCAGGCGAATTTTCTTAGGCAGTTCACAACCGGAGTCTTCGGTTTGCCAAAGCCTGCTCCGCAAGCCAGCGGGACGGTGTGTGAAAACCGCAATCCATTCGGGGCCGGTGTCCAGTGCATCGGATCAAACGTTCAAGGCACCCAATGCACCCAAATGCCCAATCGAGTCGGAGATCACAGGCAGGAGGATGAGTGTGGTTCGTGTTCCCCTTCTTGATAGGTTTGGAATCAGTGTTTTTAGCCAACTCCCCCAGGTGAACTGGTAGTGACTCACCGACCGGTTTCGATTTCTCGTCCACTCACCTTGGTGGGAAAACACCTCCGCTACGGGGAGGTAGTGAATAGGGCTTCCTCAGCAGAGGCTGCTTGAGACGCTTGATTCTACGGGAGCGTTTTGTGAGGTGACCAGTCGCAACCCGAGATACCCATCCCCGGGGCTTTCGGGGGCCTCTCATTCGGTACAGATCGGACAAGTCTTACTGATATATTAGGCACCTAAGGTGACTAGAGGTTGATACTTAATACAAACCGGTTTGGAGAGTGAAAGGAAACTCAAAACACACGCTGGGGTGGAACACGAGGAAATGAGCAAGGAGCAATCAATAAGTTCGTCTGAAGTTGCAGTGTGTGTGTGTGTGTGTGTGTGTGTGTGTGGATTAACGATCAACCACTGATTGCAATCGGATCTCGCGCACAAGCTTGAAGAATGGAATATCGAGGCAGTCAGCTCTGAAGAACAATATTCGTGGGAATAACACCAAGAAAGGAAGTGAAGAACAAATCNAGCGATGAGCAAGTGATTAAACGGTGAATGTTCAAGGAGCGGATTCGCGAGATGCGAATGGCCTCGAGCTAAACAAGACCCACTGATGTTAAAGAAAAAAAAGACGGCTGAAGAAGCTCAGATTGGAACGTACATAAGCCTCGCAAAAGGTGGGAAGAAGTTAAAAACCGGCTTGGTATAAAAAGGAAAGCTGAAAAATCCTCTTGGGCCTAAACGATGCCATCTCAAGAATACGGAAAGAAACTAAGATCGAGAAGAGGAGAGCTGGTGGCCAAGCAGATCAACGAACATAGAAAAAAGATAGAAAAATGCGGATTGAGTGAGTGGGGATTAGCAGAACATATAGATGCAAAAGTCAAAGTGTTATTATGGACAAGACGTACAAGCGGTTGCTTTTCTTGTCCATTAAGGTTTAGCACAAATGGATCGATTTACGGTCCATAGAAAGATGAGGAATGTGACAAATTACCCTTGTTTCGTGCGGTGCAAACGATATCAAAGTTTTCAGTTTGTGTTTGAAGGAATCTATTGTGGGTGCAAAAACAAAGTAAAGTGGTAGAGAATTCCACATACACACACGCTGAGGGCAAATGAATGATGACGGCGTCCTGTTCGACATTTTGGGATCAACAGTTTGAATGAGTGCCCCCTGAGATGGGTGTTGGGCGATAAGGCGAACGGTGAAAGACATGAATGATGGGGGTCCTACATTATTTGATGTATCAAAATCAAGTCACCTCGAATTCGGTATCAAAAATGATCTGGATTTCAAGCAAAGATGGTACCCAAATCTGAATTAAGCGAAGTACCAGCAGATAACCTATGCCGGACCAAGCGGGGGGGGGGAGGAGCGTGACGAGCGTTAGAGGAGAGAGGAAGCAGTGCACGGGGGTATCACTGGAAAAAACATGAGTGGTTGTGTGTGTTTGCGTGCCACTAGGAATGCGCAATTCCCATTTAGTAGGAGAAGCAGATCGACAAATTTGAGGAATGGCATAAATTAAGAGGATAAGAAGTAGCGTTCATTAGCCAACAAGTCCGACATTGGTATTTAGAAAACATATTTGATCGTCAATGCTAGACCCGAATGAGAAAACCGGTTGGATACTGCCGTTGTTGAATTCCAAGCACTGCTGGAATAAATATAATTGAATATTTACAAAGTTAAGTGAATGAGACTTGTTCTTTTTTTCTTTAATTGCCTCGATGCTCCTGATCACGGAAACGGTGAAAAGTTATTGAACATACATACACATGTAGGTGAATTTCAAGTTGTGGTGTGTTGTGTTGGACGAGGTAATCAAGGGAACAATTTTCTATAAAAGATGCGTGGATGATGTGTTCATCATCATCCTCAATCACCCTGACGATATGGCTGTATTGCTGGATGAATTCAACGCAGCACACCGCAACTTGAAATTCATCAGTGAAGTAGAGAAGGTAAATTCGTTAGCTTTCCTTGATGTCCTTATAACTCGTAAAAGTGATGGTTCTACCCAACGATCTCTCTTCCGCAAGAAGACTTGGTCCGGGCAGTACATTCACTTCAACAGTTTCTCACCAAGAGAGCTCTGGTCCGAACGTTCTTCCATGGAACGAGAGAAATATGTACAGAGGACACAATAATAAATGAACAGGAATACCTATAGCGCATTACAGGCAACTGGTTATCTGGAATCTTTCGTTCGTTTTCATGGTTGGACAGGAAACCGGACTCAAGCCACTACCCATCGGGTGCCTGAAAAGAATATCCACATCTGGTTGCCATACAAAGGGGAGTCAATAATGCAGCTTATCACACAGCGTATCAAAAACGCGTTACAAAGAACCTACTACGCTGCCGCATTAAGACTCCATCCGATCACACGGCGCCTCCCCCTCCCCCCATTCAAAGATCGTCGTCCAGTCGAATCTACCTCTCATTGCATTTACGCCTTCTGTTGCAGCCGCAACGAAGCATACATTGGTAGAACCGACCAATCACTGCGAACTAGAATGGCTGAACACATCCCCAAGTATGTGCGTGACTCTATGACTCAGCCCACACCACACACTCCGACCGCATCACGCAGACCGACTTCGGCCATGGCACGTCACTTGGTTGAAAGCGGCCACAAGGTAAACCTTACGAACGCGTTCTCGGTTTTGCTACGTCATCGAGACAAACACCGATTAAGGATACTCGAGGCATTATCGATCGTTCACAAGAAACCCAAAGCACATGCGGGTGAAACAAACCTGAAGCTGACGCGCCAATACTTGGCGATGTGTAGTTGCATCCGCGTTCGCCTTGATCTCAGTCTCATCCGGTGGATCCACGCGTTTGTGGCGCAACCAGGCTGACCATTCGGGAGCCATGTCCGGCAATTCTGTGGAATGAAGCAGACAGAAGAAAAAAGATGAATGAAAGCAAGAATGGCGTTTTGCAGTGGAACACATGTTTAGCAGATATTGCACAGCATGACAGTCCCTATCTTGTCCCCAACTCCCACAGGCAGCATCGAACCGGATTTGCTGCGAATACGGTTGCATTCGTCACGTATCGTTGGAACACAATTTATTTTTGAAACGAGAGAGATTAACATTAAGCAAACACGTTTACTATCAGCGTTCGTTCGGCCACACACGGAGTACGCCATTCAAGCATGGAATCCATGGTTGAACCACGACAAGAGGGCTCTAGAACGTCCGCTAAGGCTGGCAACAAAATTGGTCTGTATAACAAGACACTACTCATCTCAATACCGCCGACTTCGGGGTGACCTAATCTTGGCATATCACATACTGTATCAACCCAACCACTCTTGCCGTTCTATGCTAACTTTATCTCAAGATGATCACCTCAGGGGATATCCACTAAAGTTGAAGACCCAGAACAGCCACCTTGATTGTCGGTATCACTCGTTTGCAGTCAGAGTGTGCGGTGTATGGAATTCTCTTCTGTCCCATGTAGTGTGTGCTCCTACAGTTGAACTATTTAAATCACAACTTGATAAAGCATTGAAACATTCAAAATTTCGACATCCGTGAGCGATCACGCACATTATCATCAGTGTTATTTTCTCTTTGTGAAGTTATTCAAAACATTCTGTAAAAATCCTATGGGACATGACAAGCTTCCACTTTGTTAAATCGGCCATAACAAAACTTTGACTTTGAATAGCACTGCATAGCTGTTTCGTTCTTATCGAGACTCATTAGTGGTATCTATTCTCTGTTTGTTTCCCACCCCGGGGACCTGAACCGCAACCCAGCGGAGCTGGAGTGGAAGGCTTCACTCCTGAACTGAATACGGAAAAAAGTCATAGTTCATGTGAATCGATAACCCAAAGTTTGAATCAGAGTACCTTGTGCATTTTACGCACCATCTAAGCCCCATAAAAACACTACTTTTCCAACAGTTTGAGTAATCATTCAAAGCTATCATGATTCTCGTCCGAAAGTATGGATCGCCTTCGCATATACCAGGAAATTCGTGTTTCAAGATACCATGACCACCTCCTAAGGTTTCCCTACCACCCGCGCGAAGGTCGTTCGTTAACCGCGTTTCTTTTCTAAAGCACGACATCCTAATTTTTGAGGTTTTTTTAACATTCAAAGTGTTAACACACACAATCGTTTACTCAAAGAAAGAAAAAGCCTACACGTGACTGAATAAAAATTTCGCATCTGTGCAGAATACCAATCACTCAGCGACCGCAGACAAACAACAACTTCACGTTATCGCGGTAAACGTGCTATGACTTGGGAGGGGATATCCCGAGAAGCAACAAAATTTGGGAGTGTGGGAATCTCGTAGCTATAAGCTTCCGTAATGCGTAATCGTTACTTAGTTCACTCAATCCATGGCGCACACGTAAATCAGAAGTGAACTTCGCCCCCGTTTGGGACTAATCGGCAACCCATATCTGTCAGATTTCCGGGATTTGGCCAGACAAACAAACCAGATCAAACGACATTGCTCAAAACATCTCAAACGTTGACTGGCGACATGGGGATCGTGGATTCGCGTCTCACAAGTTCAGGTCAGTTCAGTTTGTACAACCATTAACCATGCACTATCATACGCCGGTTTTGGCTGCTCATTTGAATGAAGTATAGGAGGAAGACAGGAAGGTTGAAAGTAGAGTCGAACAGAAAACGGAGAATTCCAGTGGTCTGGGGTTGCAAAGAAATTGAGAAGATGCACGAACACCATTAATCAAGACATTCATTCACATCACTTAGTGTCTCTAACCACCGGTTTCGATCATCCTAAGGTACCCATCCAGGGAGCCTAACGGGATCTATGTGACCCGGTCCCTTGGTTAGGCATTTCATACCCTCAAATCAGGTTTTAGGTTGATCGTCCATGGCTTTTTTCCACCCACTACCTGCCTGGGCAGCCATTGGTCGCCGTGGCAACCTATCTGGTGACATGCGTAACACATGTCCCAACAAACGTAACCTATGGAGGTCGACCACTTGCTCCAGTAGGCTATCGCGGTTACCCAAAACTCTGCACCTAACCTCAGCAAGTCACTGATACAGTGAGAAAAAACTGTTTTCTCTTCGATTCAGAACTAGAGAACGATGTTGAGGGGCACCTGGAAGTACCCATCCATCAAACGCAAATGCATACACAACCAAAAAAGAATTCCATAATGTATCGGTCGACGCGCAGGATAATCAGGACCGCGCTCCCCATTGCATCCAGCTGGGTGGGTAGTGATAAGTGGGCTACCGCACAGATATCCCAACCTTTGTTTAACTCTTTATCTTCCGTTCCAAACCCTCTCTCTTTACCCCTTCTACCGACCCGAAACATCTCAGACAACTTGTTCGTCACTCGTCAAAGTCTGTCGCCAAGTAGCCGGGGAAATAGTTTACCACAAAATAGATTGCAGTTTCTGAAGCCTCGTCAGCCACTGAATCTGGGAGCTTTCAACGTGAGGAATTTGATGCAGGTAGGTCAACAAGCGTCTGGCACGTACAATCGACTCTTTGGGGGTTGATGTCTGTTGCGTGTCGGAGACGCGAATTTAAGATCCTAGTACCATAAATTACTCAAGTGCACCGGGTTTGTCTTCGAGGTTCTTCCTCCGCACGTCAGGTGATGACGAAGCCTGTTCAGTAGGCCAGTGTGGTGTGGGCATTGTACTCAATAATACAGCCGAAGCCGTACTACTCGATTGGATCCCCGTCAACAGCCGCTCATGTGCAATGCGGCTCCAAGGTTCTATCAGCGTCCGGAAGGGAAGCAACACCAAAAGGTCTGTTCATAAATTCAGCGTATGCACCGACCAACTGCAGTTCTGACGCACAAAAGGACGACTTTTATGATAAACTCACCGAACTCATTCGGTTGAGTCGAAGCTCCGATATAGTTGTTCTCGCAGGCGATTTTAACGCTCAAGTTGGAAAACTGAGCGCATCAGAAGCTTGCCTAGGCGGTCATTCTGCTCTACCTTGCCAGCGATCAGATAATGGCAATCGACTTTTTCAGTTCTGCGCAGATCAGCATCTGTTCCTATCCAGCACCAACTTCCGACACAGCTCTCAACGGACAGCAACGTGGCGCTCAAATTTAACCGGCACGCTAACTCAGATCGACCACATAGCACTAAGCTACCGTTGGCATGGTTCAGTACAAAACTGCAGTTCCTATTGGACCACCTGCGTTGAGTCTGACCATGCGTTAGTTTTGATGCAGTTCACTCTCCAGCTCACTGGACACAGAAAAACCCACCAAACTCGATTGGCAGATCATCGCTTATCTGACCCAGCCGGTCGTGCTCGTTTTGAATCAGAACCAGGGCAAGAGCTAAATGCACTGCGGAGTGGCAGTGTAAATGAACATCGGGATCAGATTAGCCGAGCGATGCAATCCGGAGCGAAGATTGCTTGTGGATCTGAAGCGGTAGCCCGACCGAGGTATTGGATATGAGTAGTCAGTGGCACTGATGGAGAAAAAGCGGCAAATACCCACCGCCCGGGATCAAGGTAGGGGTAGGTGGCGTCTGCAAAGTCAACTCATGAAGAACATCATGAAGGACCGGCGAGAAATGGTGGGCAACGATAGCTAGTGAAATGGAAGTAGCGGCTGCATCGGGGAATAGTCAGACTATTCCAGCTGATACGCGAAACAGTCTGTTCAACAATCGGCGATAAAAGTGGACAAGCTATTCATAATAGGGGACGGCTTGACCGATGGGCGGAGTACTTCAATGAATAGTTCAGCTGGCCAGACGCTAACAAGGCTATCTCTTCCGGTTTAACTGAGGCTCCGTGGGCAATCACCTGAACCTCCCACTGCACCAGAAGTTCGTTCTTGCACCTAAGCCATGAAGGAAAAACAGCAGTGCCGGACGGGCTTCCCCCCATTCTTATCAAGATGAGGCGATGACCTAGTAGACTCTATTAGTGATCTAATGCGTAATATCTGGTCACATGAGCGTATTTCATCATCCTCGAGTGAATCACTGATTGTTCTCATTTTTGAGGAGGGATCTCGCAACGACTGCGAAATCATCATCGTACAGCGAAATACAGTGAAGCGAACTTCAGTGATCGCTGCCAAACTAGCAATACATACAAGGTTAGTGGTAAAATCTAAGGTGGACAGAAATTGGATCTATTTTGAGAGAGAGGTGAGCCACTATAGTCATCCCAACAAACAAAAAACTCGCAAAAGGCGTAGGGTGAAACACAAAATTGTTATCTTGTATTTTCCTAAGTTCAACTGTTTCACCCCCTATTCACTATGTTCTGTGCCCCAATCCACCTACTCCGTTTCATTGTTACTGTTGTTATTGTTGTTGCGTTGGCACCATGCTTGTCTTCAAGCCGGTGGTAAGTATATATATATATGGTCAACACAGAGTATGCAATCGAACTCTGCATACATACCGCTTCAAGCATTCTGACCTGATAAGAAACGACAAGAACGCCACTGCTGCCGTTTCGCTGCCATATTCTCCAATGCCTCCAACTAACCAGTTGTGTAGTCTTCCGGACCCCAACTGGGAAGGCGAGAGACACCTACTCTACGTAATGGCTTTGTGCATTTCTTCATGCCTCGTCTCCACGTTATCTGTTGACGTCTACGCGGTTTTTTCCAGCCCGGATTAGCCACAGCGAATAAGGCGCGGTGCGGTAGACGATGGCTGGGCATACGCAATACGTGTTCTAGTCAGCGAAGTCTACTAGTGTGAATTCGGTGTGTTAACAGGTTTATACCTGATAGACTGCCAAACACAGCGGCTTACCTCCACGTTACTAACCCATTCGCTCCATCCATCGTGGGCTAAACTGCGTAAACATCGATAATCGAA